AGAAAAAAACATAAACGCTGAAGATCTCATGCAGTTTCACTGCATTATACACCAAGAAGCCCTCTGTTCTAAAAAAATTGAATTTCAAAATGTCATGAAAGTGGTAGTTTCGACTGTAAATTTCATAAAATCACGAGGACTCAATCACAGGCAATTCAAACAATTCCTTGATGACATCGAAAGCGAATATGGAGATTTACTGTATTATACAGAAGTAAGGTGGCTAAGTCGTGGATTGACACTGGAACGATTTCTAAATTTAATAGAAGAAATTGGAATATTTCTGGCGGAAAAGCAAAAGGATGTCCCGGAACTTAACAATCCTGATTGGTTGTGTGATTTGGCTTTTTTAGTTGACATTACAAATCATTTGAATGTCTTGAACACACGGCTTCAAGGCAAAAATCAACTGATATCCCAGCTCTACGCTCATGTATCATCCTTTCAAAGCAAGCTGACACTTTTCAGATCGCAATTGAATTCTGGAAATTACAATCATTTTCCGAATTATAAGAAAATGGCTAAAAAATTCAACAAAACTGCGATTAATTTCAGTTATGTAGAAAAGCTAGATATTTTGATTCAATCTTTTCAAGACAGATTTTCGGAGTTTAAAAAAGTGAAACCTCTGTTGGACATATTCAGCAATCCTTTCACTATTTCAGTTGAAAATGCGCCAGAGTCAATGCAGTTAGAAATTATCGACATTCAAAACGACCAAGATTTACGCAACAAATTCAACGAAGGAGACTTGCAGAACTTTTACCGCTGTATTGATAAAAATATGTACAAAGAGTTGCGCATAAACGCTCTGAAATGTGCCAGCTTATTTGGTTCTGCCTATATATGTGAACAAACTTTTTCAATACTAAATAATAATAAAACAAAAAATCGAAACCGCCTTGCAAATGATAGTTTGGAAGCAGTTTTACGTGTTACTACAAGTAAATTTGAGCCAAATATAAAAAATGCAGTGCCACGCTTCAAATTAATAAATTCTTTTTCAATTTTAATACATTATTATCAATTCTTTATTGTCTTTAATTACCTATACTTCTGGCGGCCCGCCATCAGTTCATGATTTGCCCGAGTGGCCCCTAGTCTTAATAAGTCTGTGCATCGCTGCTTTAAAGCTTCGTAAATAGCATGAAGTACTTGACATATAAATTTGGAAAGTGTGCTTTTTGGCAAACGATACACATATTGCAAAGTTGTAAAAGAATCTGATGTAAACGTGAGCTGGAATGGCATCTTTCATATGCGTATATTGTTTTTGTATTTTAGAGGATACTTGCTTCAACAAAAACATGAAACTCTCTTCAGTCATTCTTAAATGATTAAAAAATGCTTCCTGATCTTCATGGTATAATTCTCTAATTAAACTACTAGACGCACCTAGGTTATTTCTACGTGCAATCCACGAGCAACTGTTTTCGCTTTTTTTTGTTAATGACATGCGCAGTTCCAAAGAGCACATTTGGATTACCACATTGATGCCAGCGCGAAGTACATCACTTGATGCCATTTTTATTACTGTGCCACTACACAATTATAACATTTATGTGGAAACAACTTCTGGCGCCACTAAACTGGCTTCGTACTGGCACCAGTAATCCGTGCATGTGGAAACTTAGTTTTTTAGTTCTGTTGTTTACTCTTTGGTAATCTTTGTACTGATTAAATGAATATACGGTATAACTCCATTTTTGCTTTTTCATTATTAGTACTATTTTTATCTGTGTACTTTATGTCAAAACCATCCACATCACCTTTCTTAGTTGCAGAACCGGCTTCATCATAACTTCAAATATCAATAACAATTTGCTTGAAATTAAATCCTATCACAGTAGTAGAATCCAAATAATTAAAAACAAATCAACTTTTTATTAAAAGCTGTAATTTATATTTGTCCGTTCTGAAAAATTTAGTAGAATGGATGTAGCCGCGTTTGCAAATAGACGCCTCCATTGATATTGGAATAATATGAATAGAGAAGACTGCGAACTTAGCCGCACATGGAAAATGTTAGTTAACTCAACGAAGCCTTCTTCACAGTGGCGGACTAAGGCTAAAGCGGGCCCTAGGCAACAAGTTTTTCAGTCATGACACATACTTTGCGTTTGGTAGTTTGGTTTTAGAGCATATAGTATGTAGTTCTATTTAATTATCGGATTCCAAGAAAAAAAAAGGAAAAAAAAAATATACATGTACAAAAATTAAATAAACATAATTTATTAAAACAAACAATAATACTTAGACAAATATACCCAGATTGATTAGTTATATTGCTTTTTTTCTCACTTTTAATTCTGCAAACTCGTCAATTAGTTTGTCATAATTAATAGAGTTATTTAATATCTCTTTTTCTATATAAAGTAATGATAAACTATTTAATTTTTGTTGGCCTAATGTGGATCTTAAAAAATATTTTATTCTGGCTATTACTGAGAATGATCTTTCACCGCTTGCATTGCTTATTGGAAGGGTTAAATAAATTTTCAGAATTATGTTTAAATTAGGGAATGTTGCAATAATATTATTTTCCTGAATAAATGACCACATGGACACAGGCGAAATATTTTGTTTACTTATAAAAGTCTTAAATTGTAATACTTCACTTTTCAGTTCTGCTAGGTATAAATCTTGTTCATAACATTTTAATGTCCCTATTGAAGAGTTACCAACATCACTATCATGAAAAATTGTTTTGAATTTATTGTTGATACTTTTATATCCCTCAGATCTTTTTTTAATGTTGCTAATTAAAGAATCGCATACAACAACAAAAAATATTAACTTTAAAATGTTCTTTCCCACTGAATCTTATTTCATGTTCTGGAATTTCATCATGAAATAGTTTTCGTATTTTCTACCGTTTTTTATCATTAGTATATGCAATATCTTTAACTTTTTCTGTGTCTCTTGCTAAATTGTCAAAATCATCTCTAACAGTTTGTATAAAATCTATCAATGAATCATATATTAAAACTGTTGTATTTAGGGATTCGTCTTTTTGTTGAAGAGTCTTGTTTGAAGCATTTATTCTCTCTAAAATCTTTTCCCATACAGTAAGTAACAGTACATACTCAAATGTATCAAGTTTTTTATGTAAATCGGCAGCTTCGGACCTTGTTAATGGTTTCTCATCTTTGTTTGAGGAAAAATGACGTAAACAATGTTTAATTTCTTCATAATTTTCCTTTAAGGATTTCACAGCATCGGAACGAGCAGACCACCTGGTGTCACAAATAGGTTTGATACACTAGTGTTTGCTCTTACAACATTTTTGTAATGCATTCCACCTATGTGTAGAACTTGAAAAAAGTACGTACAATTGCTGAACCGTATTGAAAAAAGTGGTCATTTCCATGCAACTTTCTGCAGCAGCGTTTCCAATTAAATTTAATGAATGATTTGCGCATGGTATAAAATGGACAGAAAAAATATGTTGTTTTATTCTGGATTGGAATCCCTTATATTTACCTGACATATTAAACGCATTATCATAACTCTGTCCCTGACAGTTAGTTAAAATAACTTTCTCCAAATTTTCAGCAGTATGAGAAAATATAGGTAGAAATCCCAAAAATCTTTCTTTTATACCAGTTGGAAGAACATAGCGAATAATGACGGTCAGCTGATCTACGCGAGATATATCAGGTGTTGAATCTATAATAAGAGATTACAATTTGGCTTCCTTTATTTCGTTCACTATTGTGAGTTGTAAATCTTTCGATATAATAGAAATAAATTCAGCACATATTGTAGACGATAAATAGTTTATTGTACCGGTGCTACAGTTTGCATATTTTTTCATGTGTTCCCGCAAAAATGTATCGAACTCGGATAAATATTCCAAAGCATGTATATAATTACCATTATTTTCACTAAAAACACTTCATTTTTACCACGAAACGCTAAAGAGTATGAAGAAATAAATTTGATTGTCGCTATGACACGTTTAAGTATTTCCCTCCAATATTTTTTTTCATTTATAATTTGTTTTTTAAGTTCAGTGTCAATGCGTCCGGTAATTTTAGATCTTGTTATAAAAATTAAAATTGAGTTAATTTTTTATGTACATTTTTCCAATCATTCGTCCCTTTTGTCATTAGCGTTGTTTGCTTGGAAAATAATTACAGACTTCTTAGACGTAACTTTTTCCCCGCTATTAATTGTTCTGAAGAAGGAGGCAATAGTTAATTTTCTTGTAATTTGTTTCGACCCTTCGTTACATGGAATAGAAGATGATTTCAAAGATCCATTTATTGATTTTGGTGGATTTTTTATATAATACTCTCGCATGGCGTCTGTTAAGTATTCTGCCTCTGGCCATAATGCAATATCTTTTACAAAACTCTTAGTTTCATCATTACTTTGAGATGATTTTAAATTTATATTTTCTCTTTTTATTTCATCTTCACAAACGGAATCCTCTTTTTCCTGCTGGTCATTTTGCAGAATAGTTTCGGACACAAATGATGTTTCTAGAGTTTGAGCAGGTGAAATTTGTGAAAATGATGACGATTGTTGTAATTGTTCTCCATCTACAGTTAAAAATTTGTCCAACGATCTTTTCATTTATTTAGCTACTTTATCTCGATCTGCTTTTCGTTTTCTTTTTTCACTTCCACTTAAACGTTTATAGGAACTCATTTTAAAGACCACATACTAAAAAGAAAGAAGAAAATAATCTTCAATTAAATTTATTTTTACTCAATATCACAATCACAAACAAAATCACAATTTGTGGTATTTTATATTATATATTATTTTAATTAAATAATGTAATACGTTTATAAAAACTTACGTCTTTATTTTAGGAATTTCATTTCACGTTTTTCTGTTAAATAAAAATTAAAAACCTAATTTTCGGGCCTCAGGCCTTAGTCCGCCCCTACTTCTTCACCTGAATTTGACAAAAAAAATTAATTATTTAATCATGTTCTAGTTTAACACTGGTACTTCTTGATAATGAGAGGAAATTAAGTAAAAGAATTTTTTTACGCACTAATTTACTTTTATTAACTTAACCATAACAAAATTAACAAAAAGAAAAATGTATATGGGCAATCAGAAAAAAGTATGTACAGAAATACGCCATTTTTATTTGATAAAAGAAAAGGAGGAATGGTTGATTTGAAAAAAAAATTGCATGTTGTTTTTTATATCATACATAATAAGGCGCGTATATAGACTAGGCCAATTCTAAAAATCCATTCTATTACTGACAAAACATAAATTATTAATGTTTATCGCCTGAAATTCCATCGAGTCACCATCAGTCACTAACACACAAAAAATTATTTTTTCTCGTTAATTTTATATTAATTTTCACTCAAACGCGATGGAATTCTTTAGCGTTGATTGAGTTACTTTTTTAGTAGTAAATAAACTATATATACATTAATTAAACAAGCAGTCTAACTCCTTTCCATTTGAAGGAACAACTGGCACAACATATTGACAATTACAAAAAAAATTGCGGGGTATTTTGGACGATACAAGTAAAAAAATAAGCGGTAATTAATGTAATTACACTTATTCCCAACCGTGTACAATTATTTACATTATTTTCTTTTTTCTCTTGGGTTGTTTTATTCCCTAAAAACATAAGGAGTGAGCCTACTTAAAAAAGAATAAAAGAAAAGTATCACTGGACACAGACAAAATCTTTAACAAGCTTTCAAATAATTAATTTAAAAATGTTAAATCAGTTTATTCTACTTTTCTGAAATGACTGTTCTTGCGTGGCAAATTTAAGAATGAGAACTTATAACACAAAATGAGTAAGAAATGGCATTTCCCAACAATTGGAGGTGTACTAAACCACAAAATACGCCATTTAACAAAAACGTTGGGTACACATACGAGGTGTCCCACCTCTAAACATATCCATGTAAATAACTTAACATGATAAATATCATTGTTTATAAAGTGTTATGGTGCGCTACCCCATCAAATTTTTTAATTGAAAACATAGGAGTCGGAAAAGGCCTAGGATTTACGCTTCAGCCTAGAATGCAAGGAGAAGAAACTACAGGTATCTTTTCAATCCATTATATTAACATCATTTGGATGTGAAATAATTAAAACTGCAATGTAAAAACGGTTAACTATGTAATTCGAGATATTTCCGTTTATACATATTATATTATAATGCATATCATAACAAACGACAATTTTTTATTTTACTTTTCTTTTTTATTTTATTTCAAAAACTAATTGCTTGATTGAAGCGTAAAAAAGGAAATCATCATTTCTAAAAAATAATCAAATTTTCGAACGTCTCCATATCCTAAACTTTTTAAGGTGTGTTAAAATGTAATATTTTGGTGTCCAATACCTCCAATTGCGAGATTTCATGGTAAATCGCCCTGTAAGTATATGCTTAATTATAATTACATTTTACCAGGAATAGAACGTTTTTTTATAATATCTAGAATTTAAATAACCGGTATAATTAAAAGAAAGAGTGAAAATTATAATGGATAAAAAAGTATGTACTGTGTAATCTGTAACATCAGTTTTGCCTGTGTTAACCAGTAAACTTATTATACATTTATATACAACTTGGGAGGGGGCCTGACCCATAAGAATATCACAGTGAAGATAGCCAAATAGGCAGTCGCAATTACAAACGTTACATTTATGCATTCATTGGGTTCCTCTCATCTCGAACGTCCCAACGTTTTTTTTATTTTTTAAACTATACGTTTACGTTGGGTCGCACAGCATTCATCGTTCAGTAAAAAAATTCTACATTCCATGGATCAGACCTTCTTTAGTTTTTATTTTTATTACCTACACTTAAAATTAAATAATTGTAGGAACGACGCCCCCCTTCGACGATTTTATAAAGTTATTAATCGATAGGGATAGAGGGCGACGTTTTTCTCCATTTTTTTTTCTGCCGACCGACACGACGGTGAACATTTTTTAAATAACACTTTTTGTTTATTAGGCCTGGGCACGCACTCTGCATTACTCGTATTATAAATATAAATTCTAAAACAGTGGTCAACATTATATTACAGGTCATCAGGTCGAAACGGCGAGTGCTGCGGCCACAAATACTCACAGTCGGACGAACGTGTATGTGTGTATATTATACTCACTCTCAACGTATCCACATTTCATTTTACTTACTATTATTTATTTAAATATTTTTAATTTTTCCCATTTTTTTGCGCAGAAAGGGGGAACAAACGAAAACGAAACGGAATTTGACGTGTTTTCTGCGATAAAAAAATAATGGGAGAGAGAGGAGTAATATTAGTACACTAGTGAGTAAATAAGGCTACTTGTTGCACCAACAGCAGAAATCTCTTACGGTACATTATAGTACATTAATAATAGGAGCGATAAGACAATGCACTTTTAATGGTTTCCATGGATCAACTATCGCTGCGTCCTTCTTAGTGCTCGTCTAATTACGCGTCTTTCTTGAACTGAATTTCCACCGGTAGATGGAGAACTGCAAGTAATTATTAATCTAATTAAAATATCGTTCTCACACTCCAAAAAAACTAATATGCATATGAAGCAATAAGTTACTTACTTGAATGCCGATGGTGGGGCTCCAGTTGTAAAATTGAAGTTTGGTTGGAATTCTGGAGCTGCAGAAAAGTTGAAACCACCGGAAGTTGACGGTGCCTGAAATGTAGTTTACATGTTAATGAAATTTGATAAATAACACTTTTGACTTTAAAAAGTGAGTGAAATATAAAGTTTGATAAAAAGTCAAAGAATTCAGAAGTCAAAACGATACGGGTTTTGCTCAAATAGAAAAACTAAACCATTTACTAGAAGGGTTACCAATTATCGAAACCATTGTTCACATGTTTAGTACTTTAACCTCTTAAGAATCATCTCAGCAGTTTCTAATAAAAATAATTCGTTGTTATCCATTAATTATAGTATTGGTAAATATTGCTATTTTCACAACTTTTCAATTATTTCACTTATAATTTTACATTTTATTATCACTTATAACATAAATACAATCGTTGTGAGAACCTATCATTTAATAATAAAGGTTAAATTAAAATGCTGGAAAAAATAAAAGTTAAAAATTCTGATGATATGTTTATTTTATGAGTCAATAAAATGACACTTTTATCCATCTTTCTAAAACCACTCAACATATGCACGGGTTAATCTCTCTCTCTTGTTCAAAACGACTTAACACATGAATCTGTTGCAGAAGGCTCAATTGCACTAAATGAATAATTGATATTAGAAGTTGCTTGATGACGCATTGTTTGTTGAAGGTTCCTAAGTATTATATGAAGTTTGTCTAGCAAAAAGTTATTGCAATTGGTGCAAAATCACGGTTGTGGAGAAAGACAGATTATACAGGTTCAAAGAAAGTACAGTTTGTTGTCTGCACATGTACTCTATGGATAGCTTGAAAGATACGGGATCGGGTCCTCGATCCATTTTTGGTACTGTTCTATTCAGCACCATCCTCTGTACTTCTTCAATGTTCCTTCCCCTCTGGTGAATCACACTCTTGATGTTGTCCAGCCACTTCGTTCTGGGTCTCCCCTTCCCCCTTTTCCTTCATCATCCTCTTTAGGAGCCTCTTGTTATCCGATTCACGTGCACTACAACTGTCTGTTCTGTATAATATTCACTAAAGGATCTATCCCTAGTTCATCTTTTGTGGTTGTATTCCTGACATTATCTCTTCTGGTACTGGTATTCGCCTTAGGTACCTCATTTCTGTAGCTGTTACTTTGCTTTTGCTCCATATATCAATGTTGACACATATACTGCTTTATACAGGTGCTTCTTTGTTTCTTTACTCAGCTGTTTGTTATTTATCAATGTTGTATTAATCTGATAACACACTTTTGTTGCCTTGGACGTTCTATTTCTTATTTCCTGATCTATTGTCCCGTCAGTACACACCACTAACCCCAGAAATTCGTAGTGATTTACCCCATCTATGCCCGGTTTCTCGTACATTATAATATCGAATAGATATCGGAGCAATAGTTATCGGATCGATATCTTTTAACGGCTTGGCCGGTTTCTCGTACGAAAATGCATGTAGATATCGAACCGATATTGCGCTGTTGATCGATAACTATGGCGATATCGGTCATTTGGGTTTCTGAAAGGGTCGATAGGAGATATCGGACCGATATCGGATCGATAACTATATCGCATGCAACAAGCACCGATATCGACTCGATAAGTGTGATTAATGACAGTGATGTGTGTTAAAAGATTGCAAATTTTGATTAAACTGTTCATCCAATGCTTGTTTCTTTACCATATTTGTAGATATTTTATTTCGTTTGATTTTCTATTACTGATTTTCGTTCCATAACTAATTCCACTAACAATTTTTTATCGAAAGAAGTAAAATTCTTCGTTCGTTTCGACATAGCGCGCGTATTATCAAACTAATCGTTTTCGAAAAAAGGGATAGCCCAAATTTTAACAGATATCTTTTATTGTACGTTAGTATAGTCCTTTGTAAATTATTTACTTATTTAAAAAAGGAAATAATTTAACTTAAATAATTAAGTTTTTAGTTTCTCTTTTTTGTTAATTGTTTTTTTTTACTAATCATTTTTGTTATTATTTGATGATTTTTGTTTGTTAATTTTTATTATTATTATCAATTCGTTATCAATTCCTTGTCTTAGCAACTTTTTATTTTTGTTTATGTACTGTGTGTTTTATTAGTGGATGCTTCGCTGGGCTTGTCCCGTTTGAATCCCAAGTGTAATAAACAAATAAATAAATTATTTTACGAACTATTTGTTCAAAATTTTCACCGCCACCTATCTACGGGAATAAACAAGTAACCGATTTTTTGACAAAATCGTTCGATAACTATTGTATGCAATATCTGTCGATCAGTTCGTACCAGAACACCAACAGCCGATATCGACCTGTCAAAAGATATCGATCCGATAACTATTGTTCCGATATCCATGGTTATCGAACGATTTTGTCAAAAAATCGGTTACTTGTTTATTTCCGCCGATAGGTGCCGGTAAAAATTTTGAACAAACAGTTCGTAAAATTATTTATTTATTTAGTTATTACACTTGGGATGCAAACGGGACAAGCCCAGCGAAGCATCCACTACATTGTTTTGGTAATCCAAAAAAGAGAAACCAAAATTTTAATTATTTAAGTTAAATTATTTCTTTTTTTTAATAATTAAATAATTTAGAAAAGAAAAATAACGTTACTAACGTATAATAAAAGACATCTGTTGAAATTTGGGCTCTTCCTTTTTTCGAAAACGGTTAGTTTGATAATACGTGCGCTATGGAGAAACGATCGAAGAATTTTATTTCTTGCGATAAAAAATTGTTAGTGGAATTAGTTATGGAACGAAAATCAGTAATAGAAAATCAAACGAAATAAAATATCCACAAACATGGTAAAGAAACAAGCATGGGATGAACAGTTTAATCAAAATTCGCAATCTTTTAACACACATCACTGTCATTAATCACACTTATCGAGTCGATATCGGCTTGTTGCATGCGATATAGTTATCGATCCGATATCTCCTATCGATCCTTTCAGAAACCCAAATGACCGATATCGCCATAGTTATCGATCAACAGCGCGATATCGGTTCGATATCGACATGCATTTTCGTACGAGAAACCGGCCACTAATCTATTTTGGTCACATATGATATTTATGTCTTCTTCCTCGATGCTGATTTGTTTGCTAATCTTCATTATTTTACTTGTTTTGCGTAAAATGCAGATATTGAAGAGCAACGTGAGTCACAAGATTTTGAACTGAAAAACTTAAAGCTGGCAGATTTAGTAACTGATCATTTTCATGAATGCAGTGACAGTGGGAGAGAGAGTAAAAGATATGTTGATAGAAAATTATCTTATAACACAACTAAGTTTAAAGACATAACGTGATCAGTTCTCGATTAAGCCAATCGTATAATGTTATGTGCCCTGGTTTTGTCGCATTTTAACTATGGTACCCATATTACCCATGACTGACAAAGTGTTGAATAATGAAGCCATTATTCCACAGTTCTGACACGGCCTACTAATCAAAAATTAAAATAATAACAGAAATTACAGCTTTCTTATATTGAGGTTATGTCTGAAATGTCTATCAAGTTTATTTTTTTTCCTTTTCTTTGATTTTTTTTCAAAATTAAATAGTTGTAGATAAAGTATAGTATTCAACTTGCGTATAATAATACTCAGATTACAACACTCGCTCGCTTCGCTCGCTCGTGTTGCAACTTCATCTTCGTGGGTAACAGCCGCCATTATACGCTTGTTGAATAATATACTATTAAATGTAAATGTATGTAATAACTAATAACACACATTGGCCGGTTTCTCGTACGAAAATGCATGTCGATATCGAACCGATATCGCGCTGTTGATCGATAACTATGGCGATATCGGTCATTTGGGTTTCTGAAAGGATCGATAGGAGATATCGGATCGATAACTATATCGCATGCAACAAGCCGATATCGACTCGATAAGTGTGATTAATGACAGTGATGTGTGTTAAAAGATTGCGAATTTTGATTAAACTGTTCATCCCATGCTTGTTTCTTTACCATGTTTGTGGATATTTTATTTCGTTTGATTTTCTATTACTGATTTTCGTTCCATAACTAATTCCACTAACAATTTTTTATCGCAAGAAATAAAATTCTTCGATCGTTTCTCCATAGCGCACGTATTATCAAACTAACCGTTTTCGAAAAAAGGAAGAGCCCAAATTTCAACAGATGTCTTTTATTATACGTTAGTAACGTTATTTTTCTTTTCTAAATTATTTAATTATTAAAAAAAAGAAATAATTTAACTTAAATAATTAAAATTTTGGTTTCTCTTTTTTGGATTACCAAAACAATGTAGTGGATGCTTCGCTGGGCTTGTCCCGTTTGCATCCCAAGTGTAATAACTAAATAAATAAATAATTTTACGAACTGTTTGTTCAAAATTTTTACCGGCACCTATCGGCGGAAATAAACAAGTAACCGATTTTTTGACAAAATCGTTCGATAACCATGGATATCGGAACAATAGTTATCGGATCGATATCTTTTGACAGGTCGATATCGGCTGTTGGTGTTCTGGTACGAACTGATCGACAGATATTGCATACAATAGTTATCGAACGATTTTGTCAAAAAATCGGTTACTTGTTTATTCCCGTAGATAGGTGGCGGTGAAAATTTTGAACAAATAGTTCGTAAAATAATTTATTTATTTGTTTATTACACTTGGGATTCAAACGGGACAAGCCCAGCGAAGCATCCACTAATAAAACACACAGTACATAAACAAAAATAAAAAGTTGCTAAGACAAGGAATTGATAACGAATTGATAATAATAATAAAAATTAACAAACAAAAATCATCAAATAATAACAAAAATGATTAGTAAAAAAAAACAATTAACAAAAAAGAGAAACTAAAAACTTAATTATTTAAGTTAAATTATTTCCTTTTTTAAATAAGTAAATAATTTACAAAGGACTATACTAACGTACAATAAAAGATATCTGTTAAAATTTGGGCTATCCCTTTTTTCGAAAACGATTAGTTTGATAATACGCGCGCTATGTCGAAACGAACGAAGAATTTTACTTCTTTCGATAAAAAATTGTTAGTGGAATTAGTTATGGAACGAAAATCAGTAATAGAAAATCAAACGAAATAAAATATCTACAAATATGGTAAAGAAACAAGCATTGGATGAACAGTTTAATCAAAATTTGCAATCTTTTAACACACATCACTGTCATTAATCACACTTATCGAGTCGATATCGGTGCTTGTTGCATGCGATATAGTTATCGATCCGATATCGGTCCGATATCTCCTATCGACCCTTTCAGAAACCCAAATGACCGATATCGCCATAGTTATCGATCAACAGCGCAATATCGGTTCGATATCTACATGCATTTTCGTACGAGAAACCGGCCAAGCCGTCAAAAGATATCGATCCGATAACTATTGCTCCGATATCTATTCGATATTATAATGTACGAGAAACCGGGCATATGTAAGTTTGTGAACAAAACAACTATTCGGCACACATTTGAAGACAAGTTCTAAATTCTTTGCGAGAATTACGAATTTCCGTCAGTGGTAGAGATTCTATCGCATTAATTATTCTTAGTTTTAATAGTTCTGCATCTCCTTGTAATGGTTCACTGTAAACAATTTGTTTCAATCGTCCCCAAAAATAAAAATCCATAATTGTAAGATCAGGACTATGTGCTGGTCATAAAATAGGACCATTCGGTCACAATGTGTGATGGTGAGCTAGGCAACCGTCTCGCTGAAAGTACATTGACCGTATAAAATTTACGGGTAATTCATCAAGTTGTTCATTAAAATAATTTTGTAACATATCCAAATATTTCTGTTGATTTACATTTCTGTCGAAGAAATATAGCCCAATTATACCCCGTGATATGTTATAGCACACATTTACTTTTTTGAAATGTTGACTTCGTCTAGAGAGTGTAGAATTTGGATTTACATCACTCTTCTATGGTTACATATCATAAATAAAAAAAAGAAAAAAGGTCAAATTTTTACATAAAAATGGGAATAGTTAGTTAACTTCTATAGTTAGAGTATAAAATTCGTGCGATTTAGTGGTTTGAACATATCCGACGCATTATTTATGTTGAGATAAGTTTGAAAATTCAGTGATAAAATTTTTTTTCCTCTTTGTAACTCGATCCGGGGACATACTGTATAGTTAACATTCCTTAGAATAGTTTTAAAAATGCCGAAGTGTTCAGTATTGGACTGCAAGAATCACAGGTTTACAACAAAAGGCAAAGATATACACTATTTTAAATTTCCAAATAAGCCTGGTGTATGCAAAAAAGAAGTGATCAGACAAATGGTAAGAGTCATGTTCGATATAAGACTTCGTGATTTAAACGAATAAATTAGTATTAATAACGTAAAACGACAAAATTAAATTAAGAAATTTTTAACATAATAAGCTGGCTTTATTTTACCTTTCTACCTATAGAATAGTTACTTATGATATAGGTGTTAAAAATAAGATTTTATTTTATGTGTGGAAATGATTGAAAAACGAGTGTTATTTTGTCTTCTTTGAATGTTTTTAATTTGTTTGTGAATAACGTACAATTGTAATTAAATTCAGTAATTCATATTGGGTTGCTTATTTCTTATAAGCGTTTTATAAATCGCGGCAGTAATTGGCTCTCGCGCGTCATCACTTTCTGCGCGTAAGCATACCTTATATTCATCTACCTTGGCTACATAGTTGAACAAGATTTTTTAAATGCGACATTACCGCAAACAAACTTCTATTACTACAATATTGGTTTAAAGTTTACGACCGACGTGATGAATATTTTTTGTGTACCCTGACAAACCACATTTTCAACCAATACTTAAAGTATGTGACATTCCTAAAACAATCTGTATCTCCCTTATATTGTTTTCTCACAATTGCAATAAATTTTGAATTTTTTTACGTAAAATTAATTTAAAAAAAATGAACACTACTTACCGTTGAAGTAGATGGAGTACTTCCAAAATTAAAAACACCCGGCAATGGTTTCTGTTGACTCCCGAAATTAAACGTCGTTGTCGACGTATTAGCTGCAGGTTTTCCAAACGAAAAAGTTCCATTTTGAGCCGGTGCTGTCTGATTAACGGGTGTACTTCCGAAATTAAAGCCGCCTATCCCCGATTGGGGGGTAACCCCAGATGATCCAAATTTAGTTGATCCAGTTGTAGCTTTAATTGAAGCGTTCCCAAACAAACCCGGTTTTTCGGTTGGCTGCACACCAAACGTTGGTTTTCCAGCTGATTGTACGCCAAAGTTTGGATTTCCCGTCTGCATACCAAATACAGGTGGTTTTCCGGTTGTTTGTGGTACTCCAAACGTTAATTTTTCTGTTGATGGTGTACCAAACGTTGGTTTCTCTACTGGTTGTGTTGCGCCAAACGTTGGTTTCTCTATTGGTTGTGTTGCGCCAAAAGTTGGTTTCTCTACTGGTTGTGTTGCACCAAACGTTGGTTTCTCTACTGGCTGTGTTACACCAAACGTCGGTTTTCCAGGTGAGTCAACAGAAAGAAATGATGGCTTATCAGTTTGTTGTATTCGAAACGTTGATTTCTCAGCTGATTTTTCAAATACAAAATGCGGTGTCGGGGTCGCTATTGCAGAAGTAGATGCTGTTGACATGATTGATGGCATGGATGAAGATAAATTTATTAAACTTGTAGATGGTGTTGATGTTACGTTACCAAATACAAATGGTTGTGACACCACTGGTAGATTTGATTTCGATTCTGTCGTTTCAGTTGGTTTTGGAGATATCCCAAATGAAAACGTCGGTTTAGTTTCAGCAGGTTTCGAAACATTTCCGAATAAAAGTGGAGTTTTGTTCATATCACCATTTAATGTTGGTTTTATAATTGGTGCCGATTTTGTAGTAATTTCGGGAGATGTCACGATTGGTTTGATTACTTCCGTTAAAGTAACTACTTTTTCTTCAGATTTTTCAACTTTATTTGAAGGTTCAATAACTTCTTTTTTTGTTTCTGTTGGGTTTATACCAAAAATAAATTTCGGTGTTTCTGTTTTTGATTCAGATTGTTGCCCGAAAATAGAACCAGTCAGTGATGGAGGTTTAGGTTGTGTATTTTCAAATGGTTTATTGAAGGTAAACATTTTTCCTACTGCTTCATTATTTACAATTCCAAAATTAAAACTGGCCGCCGACGTTGTCTCTTTTGGAACATTCTTTAACGAATTCGAACCTGGTTTTGGAGCATCGCAACAAATGCATTTCAATTTTTCAGCAGAATTTCTTACCATACAGCTACCACACTCCCATTGATCATCTTTCTTCTTAAATTGATCGCCAAAACCGTTTTCTTTTTTAGGCGTGGTACAAGCAACACAGGATGATACTGCATTTTTATTACGTACCATACACACTGAACATTCCCAAGTATCACTAGCTGGTTTAAACTTTTCCAATAAATCTGATTTAAATACGGAGTTATTAAGTCCTGGATATTTAGGTGGTTCTATAGGTAATTTAAATTTATCAACAGATTTTGTGTCATGACTTCCTTGGATACCATTTTCTTGTTTAGGTACTGGCTTTGGCGAAGTACATGCTTCACATGTTTTACGATCATTTTTATTGCGTATCATACACACTGAACATTCCCAAGTACCTGAAGGCGGTTGGAATTGACCAAAAGTAATTTTTGGTAAAGCTTTTGTTGCTGGAGTTGAAGATATAATGGAACCATTTGTAACTTTTGGTGTTGCACAGGCTATGCATGTATTTTCACTATTATTATTTCGTACCAAACAGGTTCCACATTCCCATTTATCTACACTCATTTTAAATTGTGATAAGTCACTTTTGAACATAGGTTTAGAAGTAGTTTTATTATTATCTTCAACTGGTACAGGATCAGCAAATGTGTAAGTATACTTTTGTGTGTGTTCGTTTGTACCATTTATGGTTGTGGTAAAAGGAATTGTACAAGAATTACATTTTGGTTCTCCACTTTTATTTCTAACCAAGCACACTTTGCATTCACCATCTTTTTCTGATAATATCCTAGGATTGGAAAATACATATTCTGTCTGTTTAATGAATTCTTTTTTATCACTTTTCGATGTGTTTTGTTCCGTTCTGTTATTGTCCTTTTTTGCAGTCTCTTTAACAACCTCTTCAATTTTCTTAATTTCTATACTTTTATCAGTAATCTTCTTGGTGGTTTTTACTGTCATAGTAGTGGAAGAAATTGTTTCAGTAGGTTTAGAAATATTGCTACTAGAAGCAGATGGTGGTGCGGGAATTGAAAAATTAAAGACTGGTAAAGTTGTAATAGGTAATTTTACATCGGGTAACTTTACTTCTTTAACCGTTTCATTTAATTCCGGTTTCGATTCTCGTACGGAACTAATTTTGTTTTTCATTTTATTCATATGTTTCGAGGTATTATCCTCGTCTAATGTCACAATTTTATATTCTTCAGTGTTTAATGAACACTTTGATGAATTAGCTATTTTCCTAACTGATACCGTAGTGTTTTGCATTTTTTCCTTTAGTTTCATTTTTAGTAAGTCAGGAACTGTAGGAACTTGCAATTCTCTATTGGACGGGACCTTTGTTTCTCGAATCGCGTAAGGATGATTCATATTCGTATACCTCGCAGGATTTTTCGGCGGATTTGGTATTTTTTTCGCATCTTCTGCCGGCGCCGTGTACTGTTCTAGAGTGTCTAATATCCTTTTAGCGGTTTTACTAAGAGATGTACTTTCCGATTTTTTCTCATTAACCGGTTTAATTTGAATGCTGTTTCTAACTATTGCACTGCTACTATCGTGAGATCTATCGGCCATCCGCCGTCCATACGCTGAGGCTCCTCCGTAAGTTGTGCGTCCGCTATAAAATGGCGAATCCAAAATCCGCTTGCTAGAAAGTGTGCGATCGACGAAATTCGCTGTACCGGCAAACGCGGTACTATTAAAAGTCGGTTGTCTCGTACTTAAAGATGTATTCATATCTGGGCTGATTGTTCGATCACCAAATAGTGATCTATCTGATTTTGATGCTGAAACAATAACAAAATTTATTTTAATTAATGAACTTCAATTTAATTTTAAATAATAAATATGCACTTATGTTAACATAAGATAAAAATTATCCGCAAAACAGCTTTTTATGCACTGAGGTGTTAAACCATTCTTTTTTTTTAGAAATACTTGGCAGTTTCGTTTCTGGGATAGTTGCATAAATACCACATGCTATTAAAAAAGACTTTATCGCTATGGTATATATCATTTCATTGAAATTAATTTCGAATTGGACCGGAAAACAATCAGGTATTACTTACAAATTAAATGCGTGGAGAGTCATAGATCAAAGGACGAAACAATTAATTAATATTCTCACCCACTTTTATCAGAAGATGATTCATAAACTATATAGGAGACACAAAATGCCACTTGAGCACAATTATTTGTAGTTTCTTAATACTTCATACTGTTATCATCTACATGGAGATGTTTGAAATAGAAGCATTAAGGAAGAGTCCAAAGCTTTGGTAGCAAGCAAAAGCTACCTTCTGAACTCGAACATCCGGCGATGAAATTTACCGTAGAACGGAAGCTGTGAAATAGTTACCTTTCTTGGATGTTTTGGTCATTTGGAAGACAGATAGGGGTATGGAACTGGAAGTGTATCGGAAGAAGACACACACGAACAAGTATCTACAGGCTTCGTCCCGTCACTATCCACAACAAAAGAAATCAGTGAGCCAAGCCTTGTTCCGGTGGGCAGAAAGGATATGCAATGAAAACGGCTTAAAGAAAGAAGGATTTCTAGAAGATGTGCTCCAGAAGAACGGCTACACTCTGAGGGATATTCAGCGAGCCACCAAACAAAACAAGTACAGGAAAGACACGATAAGTACTACACCAGCCAGTTTTATCTGCTACCCTTATGTTTCACATGTAGCGGAGCAGATTGCGCAAGGTGTCTGAAGAAGAGCAAAATTCGGAACGCTCTTCCGACAGCTAAAGACAAACTATCCCTATTAAAGGAAGCGGGAGTCTACCGGTTTTAGCTACAGTTGTGGGAAGTATTATATTAGCCAAACTGGACGTAATATCCAACAATCAGCAGTCGCAGAGCTTTGTCACAAAAAGGGACACTGTATAGATTACGATAAGACCAACATGCTAGCCAGAGTTGGAAATTGTTTCCGAAGGATGACAAGAAATGCGAGGATGAAGACGGCTGGGAACTTAGCCGAGTGTTAAGCAACCCATACACGATGACTCTTGCGGCGGTGCCGCCAAAGTCGTCGCATGCGGCAGAGCTTAACCGCCTACACACGTAGTCTCTTGTGGCGTCGTGCCGCACTTTGTTAACCGCTATCGACGGACCTATACCAATGCATACCTGGCCAGACAATAGCCAAGAAATTGGGTGCAGAATACCAATACTACTTGTAGAAGACTAAATACTTCCTATAGAGGAGCAAAAATTCCTTGCGCAAGATGAGTACTACCTAAGCACTGCTACCAATAGACTACAAATTGGTTGCAGAACACCAATACTACTTGTAGAAGACTAAATACTGCCGACAGAAGACTAAAAACTCCTTGCGGAAGACAAATACTAGCTATACAATACTAGAAATTGTTTGCAGAAGATTATCTATGGAAGGCTAGGTACTGTTACCAATACCCAACGAATTAGTTCCAAAATACTAATACTGCTTGCAGAAGACTAAATACTTCCTATAGAGGACTAAAAATTCCTTGCGGAAGATAAATACTACCTATACAATACTACAAATTGCTTAAAAAGATAGATATTGTTTATACAAGGATAGGTACTGCTACCAATAGACTACAAATTGGTTCCAGAATACTAATACTGCTTGTAGAAGATTAAATATTGCTAGCAGAAAGCTAAATACTGCTAGACAATTTTACAAGCTCATTTATGGCGGTAGTTTTTAAGTTTTTGTTGATATAATTTTTTGATTTTGAGTCCCATAAACATGGGTACATTCTATATAAACCTATAAATTGCAAACAAACTAAAGCAATACTTTCGGTGTCGTATGCACGTCGCAATCCCATATATGTTGACTCTTGCAAGGCACCGGAGCCTGCCACGGTCTAGAATCCGTCGTCGCTGCCGATGCCGTCGCACGAGTCCTGACGCTTCCCTACACAGAATGCTTCATGTGGTTCGACTCTTGGCGTCGCTGCATTCGACGCCGCAAGAGTCGTCGTGTATGGTCCGCTTTAGTTAACTCGACGAAGCGTTCTCCATCCGGAGTTGACGAAAAAACTTAATTGACAATTAGTTAGTAATTGAAGGTAACCTTTGTGTTGGCCCCATAAGAACAATGTGGTAGCGAATGTGTTGTTAAATTACTTTTCGTCTCAACAAGTCGTCACTGTCAAGCCAAAACGGCATAAACGCCAAAATGGTCACACCGCAATCGCTACAATATTGGTTTAAAGTTTGCGCAAATGCTATTTCAATATGCCGGGATAAAAGTTTTCTCACGTGTTATTACGCAGCACTTTTCTTACACGTTTTTGCTCTCATAAGGTTTAAACAAAGTATTAAATAATAATTTGGGGCCCGTTGCGACCTAGACCCTTTCCTACATAGATACATACAAAAATAATAAATTTTGAAAACATACTGGTTATGATCAAAAGGAACAATTTTTAACGCTATGTAACATTCTACCTGAATTAAAAAGTATTTGATATTTATGGCATTATAAGTGGCATTATCATGCGACCTTTGATTGTGAACAATGACATATTTTTACTATAAGGCCGTCTATATCTATGTATATAAAAAGACCCTTCATGCACATTTTACAACAAATAGAAAATAAACAATATTTAACAGTTATTAATACTTGCAAAAATGTTACATATTACTATATAATATGATACATATTACTGTATCATACACGCAATTAAGCAATAAAAGAAGCACAATGACTTTTGGAAGCAATGGATATTCTCAGGTAGTACAATAGGTGCATTCCTTAAGTGGGGCGGGTTTCAACAATTTTATTGAAAGAGATAATGCCGAATTAATGGCTGTTAAAGGTAGTAATTGTAGCAATGATCTGGATGAATAATTTGAATCAATTACATTTACGGCTAAAATTATCCGCGAAGAACACGAATTTGGAAGAAAATTGGCTACAAATGAAAATGCTTCTAACGATATTAATCATTGCTTGGTTTACTAAAATGTTATTAACAGATATCACTAAGAAATATGCTCAGGGTGTAAATATTCCTTCCAACATCGATTCGACACAAATAATTTTGGCTGATGAAAGTGATTTGTTTGAACAGTCACAGAATTAGTGCATTGAAGTATCAAATGTAATTTATGATGATAAGTGGAAAAATGTATGAAAACTATTAAGCTTATAAAAAACAAATACCCTTTCTATAATGGTATGGTACACATTGCGACATTTTCAATTGTGCTAAAAAATGTGTACTAAACGTTAAGAAAATCGACGAGTAGTTTTAAGTTAATAAAAGAGTAGGGGTAGTTTAAACTCCTGGCTTATGTATGCTATATCAATATGAAGGTCTTCTTTGAGCAACATTTTTCGTTTTTGATATAATTGAAGATATACTTTTTACTCCAAGTCTCTACCCTAGTAACTCAGTCAAGACTCATTTTCCATATGTAAAAAGAAATGTCAATCGTTAACACCTCTGACACTTTATTTCTAAATATGATACAAAAACAATGGCTTTTTGCGTTACCATCTTTCATCAAATAATATAAAAATTGATAAATAATGGCCGGTTAATTGATCTAGTGATGAATTCCTAAGATTCGTTTTATACAATAAAGGTATACTTCACAGCTCAAAAACATTCATTTCGTATGTTAATTACTGGTACAAACTTTGTTTTTTTTTATATGATTCATTCTTGAAATGTGATGCTGTGCAATCTTCTAAAACATATTAATTAAAACATCCTTGCCAAGACACAAATCATAAACACTAATCATGCGCTTCTAGTTGTTAATGTCACAAACTATTAAGTCTTTACAGCGAACATTTGAGTGTACACCTATCTATAATCTAAAACTTTAATGGTATAAACTAAGGTTTGTAACAGCAGTATACTGATTTATTTCACAAACTTACTTAGGCCCACTTTTACCATCCTCCTTATAAAGTATAGAGGGGATAATTACCATGGTTACGGCGGTTTTAAGCGCTCTCATTTATCAAGAGGTGGTAAAACTGAACTTTAAATTTAAATTTATCGTTATATGAATCGTCGTTATATGAATATTTGACTTAAGGAAATATTTAAATTGTTCAGTCATTATGATTAATAATTAAAAGGATCAGGCAATTTAATAAATTTGTGTGCATGACACATAGGCACATATGACTTGTATTAGTCAACCACTGTTCACAATGTTGTTTTGATGATACAAAGTGTGCATATTTTAAAATTATACAAAACGTAAAACCATCTAAAAGTAAACTGAACAATACTGGAAGATTATCAAGGAAGATCAATGTAGTTAATAGGAGATACTTAGAAAAGCTGATTAGCTTATTAAAAAGAGTAATGTTATTAAACATTCTTCAATTCCTGAGGAAATACTTTATATACTCCATGACGTTCACAATGTGATAGGACTCGGTGTAATATAAATTTATGGTTGCTTATCAAGATCATCTTATTAGATTCTATCAATATGGACAGCTTAGGAACAAAATAGAAGAAGAAGTATCAAATTTACTTTTAGAAATATTTACAACCTTTCAGTATTCAGACATTTGTAACACACAATCGAAATTGAAAATGATACAGGAAAAAGTACAAAAAGATGTATACTTTGAAGATAAAGATAACACCCACAAATGGAAGGTCGTTCCATTCAACTGATAATTGACAAATCTGGGGTCATACTGCAACAAATTGTAATCGATAATAATTCATATCGTTTAGAACAAAGTCGGTCTCTTGATAAACAAAGTTCTCTTGATTGAAGACGTAGTAATAAGAACACGTCACGTCCAACAGTTTAGGTACTAATTGTTTGGTTATGTTATCTGAAACGAGTCATAACAAACAACAATGAAAAACCGGAAATTGAGTAAAATATGAGATTTACCTTTTGGTAAATTGAAACAAAAACTGACAAACAAAATGCAATAGATAAAGATCAAATTATTTTATAACTAAAATAAGTCTCATTGAATAGAGAGTTTGGAGTTCATGTCTGAAGTTTGGAGGTTTGTGGAGGCCAAGGGATATAGTCAAATTGCTAAAAGGAGCTGTGTAAAAGCGACAGATGTATGTGCAGTAAAGATAAATAAATGATTAGGTCATACTTAATAGTTTCCCAATAAAATAAATATTTGAACAGCTTTTGTTAATTTAAGAAAACTTTTAGTGTTAATCTTTGATAAGGCTTCTTCAGAAAAAAACATGTAAAGACCAAAATACATCCAAATCTCAGTAGAGGTGAACAGAATAATAATTAAATTATTATAAAGTTACATATTAAAATAATCTCACATTATAATACAAAATTACACATTAAAATAAGCAAAAATTAATCAACTCACGTGTATTAAATAACGTTTTACACTTTTCTGGTGATATCATAGTTTTCTTCTTAACATATTCACTGCTCTCAGCAACCATTTCCTTACTACCCACCCTCATAGACGAATATCCACTAGTAGACTCGCCACTATCCGAATTATAGTCATAGTTCCGCACCTCGCCAGAAGTTGTTTTTATTGTACTCATGTTCAAGGAGGCTTTAGTCGCCGTCGGTGTATTCGTCTTAGCCATGGAATACCCTGAAGGACCGGCAACGGGTTCGGGAAACTTTATGCAATTCGCATTATTATTGTTATTGTTGTTCTTAGTGCGATCGATTTCAGCTCTAGGCGCTACGAATAAATGTCGGGCGTTGCGATGGTTGTTTTTGTAAAGAGACGTTGCCATTGAAGACATAGCTGGCTCGTTGGTTTTCGCTTTTTTCGTAGGTGGTTGAATGCGGAGGGTTTCGTCGTCATCGTCCGTTTCATCGCGTGGTCTTACTACTGTAGATTCTGTACCGGCAAACCACTTGCTTAGAGATGATGGTAAAAAGCCCGAAACTCGCGATGTTACTTTCTTAACGAAAGACTGAAAAAGAAATTCGTTTAAGAATTTTTATAAATTAATATAAAAAAAAAGCATAAATGAATTAGTGGTTAAAAATAAGTGTCTAAAATGTATAAAATTTGTTATTGATAGATAAAATATTATTAAATTATGAGTTAAAGTTAAACTTTTATAAAATGTGAAATATTTTATAAAGAGTTATACAGAACTATTTAGTTGAAAATACGACGAATAAGATTTTGTATATTTTGAAAAAAGAATTGTATTTAATTCTAAATTAAAAGTATTTATTATCCAAAAACATTTGGAATAATTCAAAATTTGTTGATCACTTCCACTAAACTGGCAAAAAACAAACTTAAATTTAAATTATTGAACAATTATAAGTTTTATGAAAATTCTCGAGTTCTTTAAAGAAAAAGACTAAGAGTAAATTATTTTTTCAATCGCTACGTGCAGTAAGTTTAATTTATCAGTTCTTTTCACAAGGTACACAGATAAAAATACTAAATATTAGAACATGTTTGAATACCTAAATACGTGTTGGAATGCAAACTGCAATATTCTAGATTGGGTTGCAACCAAATCTACGTCTCTACAATCGTTCATAATTGTAAAGAAACAAAACACGAAATTAGAGACATTGTAATTAAGTTAACAAAACAAAATCTGTTATGAATAAGTAAAAACATATCGAATCGCTGATTACTGAAACTACTTAAGTCACTTTTTAGAAAATTTTAATACTTTACAAAACCGGGTTGGTACTTTAGGTAATATAGAAGCAAAATAACGATATTTCATTTGTTTTAATAGACTAAAAATTCTTTTTTTATGTATTCAAAATTTTATTTCAGACGAAAGAACAAAAGTTCACATTAGCATAATTACTTAGTTTTGTTCTGTTTGGGCTCCTTGATCTTGGTATTTTCAAGAATTTCTTCGTAAAATTATTTATAATCGTCTTCTACCCATTGAAGCAATGTTTTGATATTTTAAAGTTTTGTTTCTAAGATTGGTAAGTTATCATTGTAAGCTTTTTGTTTTAGCAATTGTATCTAGATATTCTTTGCTCTTTTGGGATGAGTCAGCTTAAAGGTGTTCCAAATGAATCCATTAATATATTCACTGACCTCCTAAACAATGCCAGGATTTGTTGCTTCATGAACAAAATGGTGAAATTTTGTCAATGAAAATGGAATTCTTTCATTTCTAGAATGTTTTTCAGTTTCATCAAAAGCACATTTAGCCTTGTAGTATTTTGGCCACCAGTTTGTATAATCTATATATTCTGTTGCAACTTCCTTTACAATAAAAGCGTTTTTAGCACTAAAAGTTATAATAAGTTCAGTGAATACATGGACATCATAAACTCGGTCAACATTCCGTAAGCCTTTTTAATGACTCCAAAATCTCTGTCACAGGGCCTCGCAAGGGGTAATACTGCTGCACTTTTTGAAACCTTCCACTTTCAGTTAACGCCATGCATGCTCTTATTATGCAATGATTCTAGTTTTGCCCTGGACAATTATCAGAAAACAATTGGAGTTCTTTTACATCAAAAGAAACGTACTTTACTATATACTCCATTATGAATGACTTCATTAGGGCCTTTTGCAGCTACACCCTCATGGTAAATATAAAAAAAGAATTTGTTTGTCTTTACACACTTACACTTAATTGGAGTAGGTAAAACAGATCTTGTACAGGGATCTGTGGCAGTTGTAGATTCTGCATGTAATCAAATGCAATAGCAGCAAGATCTCGTCGTTCTTTACATTCTTCTGCAGTCGTTTTTAAAGCATTGTAGAACTTCTTCGCTCGTCATGAATAACATTTTCAGCAACAGCGGCTCTTTTTACATTATCTCCTAGAGATGGACTCTTGATTTTGAGGGCTAATTCCTCACACTTGTTGCATGCGTCTACTTGGGGACGGCCAAAATCCAAACTAAAATTGTCATGAAAGAACTTAATGAAAATTGTTTTTATATTAAGCCTTTCCAGAATAATGAGATTCTTTAACTGGGAATGACAAGATATGAATTCTAACAAGTTCTCTTACACTTTCTTTAATGGTATTTCCTTTAATATTTGTACCCGTTTATCACAAGTAAACGCTTAATTTTTTTAATTCGTTCCAAGCTAATACCATGAATACTGGCTCCTTGACAACCTTTATTCTTTTTTCTTCGATATTAACAAAATGTAGAAACGATCTATTTCTATTCTTCTTATTTTCCTTGCGTTTTCGACTTTTGGCTACAGTTGTAGCTTGTAGCAGCCTTTGCAGATAAATGTTTTGCTCAGTTTTTGATTTCACACTATAAAATGTTGTAAAAATTAACTTCTTCTGTGCATCACTTATAATGTCAAAGAATTTCATTTGACAACTAAAAATAATAAGAATGTACCGAATGTGTTAACGCTAAAATAGCAATCCAAATATATCTCAAATAGTACTTACTAGCATCTAGCTCCAATACACTTTGCCTTCACAACTTTCTTCTTGTAATTAATGTATTCTATTCCGGAGACACGAGCATTCCTTATAAAATTTCTTTGATAATTATTATAATTTCTAACACCTTTACGACGCTTTTTTGCAGGTTCTATAGGTATATTGTCTTTGTCACGAGAACAACTTGCTTTATTACCGTTCATAATAATTAAATTTGAAAAACGATAATCAGTGCGAACTTATTTTGAGGTTAAGTTTGAGCACGGCGTGGCACGCCAGACCATCGTTTGTAACAGACACAACCTAAGTTGACGACTTATGCTGTTTCAGCAGTAAACGGCAGTGGCGACAAGGCTGTAATTCGGTAACAGTTATCAGCACATAAGTTCTTTCAGCACCAAACAATGGGGAATGGTCAAAACTGTATGTTTACATGGATAACTCAAAATGGCCAAAAAATAACTTAGGTTGTTTCAGCAATAAGTGATTCAATTAATGACTAGTATTCTAATTACTAAAAATATGGAAAAAAAATTTAAAAAGCGTTCTAAAATTTAACAATAATTTGAAAAAAATCTATATTTGTACCATTTATTGTGAATTGAAACTACAAAAAGTTTGTTATTTATGAAAAAGTTTACAAAAAGGCTAAAGTGGACAAAGAAATAAATCGTGTACCTATAGTGTAATGATATCAGAAAATAATAAGTCTCTGCTCTCTATCAAAACATTATTTATCATAATTAGAGCAAAGCAAATTGTTTGCATAAAAAATACTTTGGTATTTTATAGAAGTTTTATTATTTAGTGGTTATAAAAAATTCCTACATGTATTGACAGCAATCTCTATGCTGTTACATCGTTAATATAGTATAATAGCAAAAAGACACATTAATAGAAACGACATAATATTTAAAGTACGATCATATATTCCTTTTTGACAAACTTGAGTAAAATTTTAAAACCATGAAATAGTAGTTGACACCTACTACTTAGAAAAATAAAAATTACAAGAACAAGTCAAGAAAATTGTGCACAAAATATCCTTCTGTCTATTGAAAAATATTAGCAATAATTTAGTATATGATGTGAAGGAATTGAAACATAGTATCACAATGCAATTACTATTAACCATTTTTGTGTAGAAAGCAAAATGTACATTTTACATGATTTAAGAATACTATACCTTCCAACTAAATACATAAGAAGGACAATATTATAGTAGCCAGAATTGATCTCTATACATGGTTGTTAAAATACAGGATTTACAATATTTACTAAGCCTGTAGAGTATGCAAATAGTCATAGTACAATAGTGGCAGTAGTTATAACATAAAGGTGCAAGAGGACACGGAAACATTTTCTTAGTTGTTGATCTTATTTAAAGTATTTAAGTAATAATATTTGTTCACCCTTAAAGTTCTACAACTATTACGATAAATAGGACCATTGTTGCAGAAGACTGCTTCATAAACAAGATTGACTGTGTAATATATGTGTCACGATAATTTATTAAATAGAACAAGCAACAGGTTAGAGACAATTAACACTAAAACAAAAAAAAGTAATAAGTAATAACTGTAGCTTCCCGCATATATTGAACAATTTTTAATTTTTATATTCTCTAGATAGGGTCTATAATTAATAAGTGGGCGCGTCGCTCTTTTTATTAAGAAGTCAGCGATCATGTTGGAGATCTGTATAAAGAAGATTATTTATTTGATATATATTGCCTTTCCTAAAAATTACGTTTACTCTGAACCGGCTTCAGATCCAGCTATTTCTGATACATCTCTGAATCCTTCTACAGGTTGTCATCGTCACTTTCAGTGCAATAGTAAGTACATGTAGCAAGTACAATTTCATCAAGCTACTCAGGTATAATTTGTCGGGCGTTTCTGGTTTGTCCGTAACTACATGTTTTTCACCAATGGCAGCTACAAAGATTACAAAATTCTATATTCTTTAGAAATCCTGTTCACTTTTGTCCAAGTCTCTCGGAAGGATTAGGTAGTACCAATCATCTCAATTTTGTTCATATGGCATCACAATCTCCATATAGGATATTGCGAACTGTTGTTTATCGATATGCAATATTTTTAAACATTCGTTATATCAACAAGAATGCATTAGAAACACATAAAGAGTATAATAACCAACATTCCGAAAAGAGCCGACCAAAATTATAGAGTGTCCGTAAAGTAGCGCATATATGCATATGATCGTTTCGAAAAAATCCAAACATCTCACACCACTTAAGGTTTCCTCAAATCTTTTGCGGATATTGGCTGTGCGACTTTCTTGGCTAATTTGGTTTTTGGGTAGCCCCATACAGACAATTTTGTCTATTTACTTGTCCACTGTAAATATTCCCTAGTCGGTAAAAATTATGCTTTTGACAAAATCTTCGTTGTCGTTGCAAAATTGGTGTTACAAAAACAACGACTCCATTGGTCGTGAATGAGGTTCACTTTATAGGAATTGTTATAGGTTTTCAAATTTTGTGAACCATAACATGAGGGTTTCTTGCCCAGCCAAAACCACGTTTTGTTGAACCTCCCCTGAAACATTTGGTGAGCCAGACTTCGAGAGATGCCAATGATCATTTTCAAGCGCAAAACAATACCAAAATGACAAGGGTTGGATGGACGAGGCTGGTATGAAATTATAAATTAACAGAGTATAGGGGAGAAGGAAAGCTGCTTTATTGGAGAAGAGTTCTCTTCTTGTGCTAGATCAGTTTAGTAATCATTTGAAAAATTCTGTGAAAGAGAAATTGAGACAGGGAAATACAAAGCTTGCTGTTATTCCGGGAGGACATACTTCACAATTCAAACCTCATGATGTCTCGATAAATAAACTATTTAAAGAGTATATGAGAGAGAAATGCAACAAATGGATGATGGGAACTTGAAAACAATAAAACAAGCGTGTAAGTGAACAAAACAGTAGTGGTCTAGAGTGAGAGACGACGTTAGTTACATCTTTGGTAATACCTTTCCCTATTACAACCCATACATTTCCACATTTTATTCTTTATGAACCTCATAGCTTTACAAAATTCTCAGATGTTGTATTGTTCTTATTGGGATTTTATGAAAGAGTTCCACCCAATTCCTGTGATTTTCAGCTCCAAAATGTACCTGAATACACCTTTCCTTTAAGAAGATTGGTAACAGCACCATTTCTTACACTCTGAACATGTAATTTGTAAAATCATCAATTAATCCCGCAAGTTAAATTTCTTTACATCTTTAATACCTATGTGAGGTGCTACCAATGATATAAGAACCTACAATGCCACAGTGGAAAAGTTTCACTACACACTTCACTTTAAACAATCAAGGCTTCTTGCTAAGACTTTGTAAATTAATGAGAAACTTGGTAATCACCTTATAGGAATGATATTTTGCGGGTTTTAAAATTTTGTGAACCGTTGATTCACTAATGTCCAAATTCGACAGAATACACTTTATAATAACATGACGGTTTCTTGCCCAGCCAAAACCACGTTTTGTTGAACCTCCTCTGAAACATTTGGTAGGCCTGATTTTGAGAGATGCCAATGATGCTCAATGATCAAGCGTAAAACAATGATAAAACTTTCTGAAATACTGCCAGATTGTTGTTCACATATATGACAATATATGGACAAGGCTAGTATGAAATTATGAATTAAGAGAGTGTGGGAGAGAAGGAAAGGTGCTTTATTGAAGAAGAGTTCTCTTCTTGTGCTAGATCAGTTTAGTAATCATTTGAAAAATTCTGTGAAAGAGAAATTGAGACAGGCAAATACGGAGCTTGCTGTTATTCCAGGACATACTGCACAATTGAAACCTTAACATGTCTTGGTAAAGAAACCATTTAAAGTGTTTATGAGAGGGAAACGCAACAAATAGATGATGGGAGCTTGAAAACAATGTAAACAAGTGTGTCAGTGGACAAAACAGTAGTATTCTAGAGTGAGAGACGACATTATTGTTAAATCTTTCAAGAAGTGTGACTTAAGTCACACTCTCAATGGCAGTGGAGACCATCTTATATATGAAAAGAACATGATAATGACGAAGAGTAAGAAGTAAGTTTGGTTTTAGTAATTGTTGGTTTATTCAATTAATTTCTTAAAAAACCACATCAAATTCATTCTGATGTTCTTTCTTGGTATTTTTCTTTTGATCAAAATCTTTCTTTTTGACTATAAATATCTTGGGATTTCAAGATGTACTGTACTCCTAAAAAATATTAAATTTAAGGAATTTTACATGACAACTTTTAGTTGAACAAGGATTATCTATTATTCTATTCAGTGCGTTTGAATGCTGTTTCTTTTTATTGCTCTTGTTTACATTATTTATAATTTTGTAATTTTATGGATTTATAGGGCAAAATAAAATATTTCAAAGTAGTATATTATTTCTTTGTTCTTCAAAGTCCCTTAGTTAGACACATCTTTGATAATGCCTTTCCCTGTTACAACCCTTACATTTACACATTTTATTCTTTATGAACCTCATAGCTTTACAAAATTCCCAGATGTTGTATTGTTCTTATTGGGATTTTATGAAAGAGTTCCACCCAATTCCTGTGATTTTCAGCTCCAAAATGTACCTGAATACACCTTTCCTCTAAGAAGATTAGTAACAGCACCATTTTTTACACTCTGAACATGTAATTTGTAAAATCATCAATTAAACCAGCAAGTTAAATTTCTTTACATCTTTAATACCTATGTGAAGTGCTGCCAATGATATAAGAACCTACAATGCCACAATGGAAAAATTTCACTACACACTTCACTTTAAACAATCAAGGCTTCCTGCTAAGACTTTGTAAACTTTACAATAGCATGACGGTTTCTTGCCCAGCCAAAACAATGTTTTGCTGAACCTCCCCTGAAACATTTGGTAGGCCAGATTTCAAGAGATGCCAATGATGCTCAATGAACAAGCGCAAAACAATGCCAAAACTTTCTGAAATACTGCCAGATAGTTGCTCACATATATGACAAGGCTTGGATGGACGAGGCTGGTATGAAATTATGAATTAACAGAGTGTGGGAGAAAACGAAAGGTGCTTTATTGAAGAAGAGTTCTTTTCTTGTGCTAGATCAGTTTAGTAATGATTTGAAAAATTCTGTGAAGGAGAAAGTGAGACAGGGAAATACAGAGCTTGCAGTTATTCCAGGAGGACATACTTCACAATTGAAACCTTAACATGTCTTGGTAAAGAAACCATTTAAAGTGTTTATGAGAGAGAAACGCAACAAATAGATGATGGGAGCTTGAAAATAATGTAAACAAGTGTGTCAGTGGTCAAAACAGTAGTATTCTAGAGTGAAAGACGACATTATTGTTAAATCTTTCAAGAAGTGCGACTTAAGTAACGCTCTCAATGGCAGTGGAGACCATCTTATATATGAAGAGATCAATGATAATGACGAAGAGTAAGAAGTAAGTTTGGTTTTAGTAATTATTCAATTAATTTCTTTAAAAATCACATAAAATTCATTCTGATGTTCTTTCTTGGTATTTCCTTTTGATCAGAATCTTTCTTTTTGACTTTAAATGTCTTGGATTTCAAGATGTACTGTACTCCTAAAAAATATTAAATTTAAGAAATGTTACAGGACAACTTTTAGTTGAATAAGGACTATTCTATTCAGTGTGTTCGAATGCTGTTTCTTTCTAGTTCTGTTGTTTACACTATTTATAATTTTTGTAATTTTATGGGTTTATAGGGCAAAACAAAATATTTCAAAGTAGTATATTATTTCTTTGCTCTTCAAAGTCCCTTAGTTAGACACATCTTTGGTAACGCCTTTCCCTATTACAACTCTTACATTTCCACATTTTATTCTTTATGAACCTCACAGCTTTACAAAATTCCCAGATGTTGTATTGTTCTTCTTGGGATTTTATGAAAGAGTTCCACCTAATTCCTTTAAGGAGATTGGTAACAGCACCATTTTTTACACATTGAACATGTAATTTGTAAAATTTCTTTACATCTTTAATTCCCATATGAGGTGCTACCAATGATATAAGAACCTACAATATCACAGTAGAAAAATTTCACTACACACTTCACTTTAAACTATTAAGGCTTATTACTAAGGCTTTGTGAATTAATGAAAAACTTAGTAATCAGAATATATATACACATTTTATATAATTGATCACAAAATAAATGTTTTTTTCAACTGGAAATTAGGTTTGTATGCTACAAACATTATTGTTTTATTAGCTGTTCTCAATGTAAGTGTATTTATTGTAAAACCAGCCCTCTATATTTAAAAAATGTGGGTTAATTAAATCTGAAAGTTTTTAAATAAGATTCCTACCGAAATTAGCATATTTAACAGAATTTTATACAATTTATGATAGTTCTCTAGAAGATGCTATTACCGGAATTATTTTCTTAATAATCTTCATTTATTTCTTTAATGTAATATCCCTATTATTATTTGTAAAGGCCACTATATACCCTGAAACGTTATTAGTATATAAAAAATGAAATTATACACTATAAAACCCTCCTAATCATATAAACAAATCTCATTTGTTCATAACGTTGACTTACAATAGTTATGTAATTTTTAAAATATTGATGAATTTATTCTCAATGAACATAAAAAGGTCCAAACACTCATTACAACTAAAATAAAACCTCAATTTGATGTGTTTTTAGATAATAAAGAAAAACTTACTGAAATACTTAACCATGTTGAACATAACCTACATAGACACAAACTATTTTTAATAAAAATATACACTTCCAATGCTTTAACATATTAAAATATAAACCAATGTGATTAACCTTAAACAAGAAACATAATGTGGGATATCATGATGAATTTCGGTAAAATCATGTATATTCCAATAAAAAGGAAGAAACTCAATTTCTTCAAATATGACCCAATAATGTTATTTACGTTTAATAATAAGTAAATACAATTTGTACGGTGTGTGTACTTTCTCTGTGAACTGTAAAAAAGGATCTTTTTAAAACGAACGTTGCTATTTTTAGAGAAAAGTAACGCGCGAATACTGAGCACACTCTTAATTACCTTATTAGATGCGGATTCCTCCGGCGAAACACTTTCATTGCCGAAACTAAGATCGTTCTCGGTGGCCATTTCGCGTTTAAAACGGTTAAAACGTTGAAACTATTAAAAACGTAACACTTATAAAACTAAACATCTCATTGACACTTTCACTGCATGGGGATCGGAAACATGGCGGCTGTTATAGTGAGGTTCTTTCTCACAAATAACCGCCCCGCCAAAACGCAGGTAAGAAGAAGCGTCATGTTCAAATCGTAAGGCGCGAAAACGATTTCGATGTGTTTTTATCAATAAATATTGTTGTTACGCTTAATTTGTAAGATCTCTTCTAATAAATTTTAATAATACTATTTTTTTTACTCACTTTTGATGATAAATAATAATCCATTCGCCTATACATAACGTTCGTAAATATTGTTAATCTAAAAATGACAGGTGTCGTTTTAAATTTGTCAAAATTGACAAAAAAAAATGATATTTCTTAATTCAAAACTAAATTAAATTTAAGAATTAAATAATCAGCAACAATAAAATTTGTTAAATTACCACAGGTTTCTATAAATATTGTTGCGACGAATCCGATAGATGGCACCACCAGGAATGAATTTTCGGTAATTCAGAACAATTTGTTGACACCTCCTGGATGATAATAATAGAAAATTAATTTACAAAATTTGATCTGTAAACGAGATGTTTAATTCCATATTTATTAATGTAATAAATTAATTAATTATAGAGATCGAGGAGATAATTTTCAACAGAAATCTATATTTTTCTATGTAACATAACTTGAAGAAAAAAATCGGGTAATCCAACTAACTTCGTGTTAATTAGAAGTTCAACAGTTAAACTTTAGATGGCGCATATAGTTACTTTTGTCCAAGGTCCGTTGAGTAAACAAACTGTATAAGGTTATCCAACTCCCTATGAACGCTGTTGTTATGAACGTATCCCCCGCAAAGGCCTTATTGTGACGTCATTGGAAGAATTGACATTTCTATTTTTATTTATACATTGTACTTCACTTAAGAAGCAATACACAAAAATATAAAAAAAAGATATAAAATAAAATTAAAAAAATTAAAATATAAAGCGAAATATTAATGGTTATAATTTTATTATTGTTAGGTTATCCAACTTGACTCGGTTACCATGGTGATTAACATCCAAATATTGCAGGTGCTTATCAAAATTGACGTTGAATTTAAGTTTTTTTAATGAAAAACACATAATTAATTAGATTTAAAGGTTGTATTTAATTCAAAAGGAGTAAATGGATGAAATTATAAGCAAGGTAAGTGGATTAAATAAAAAAAAATATTTTTAGATCAAAAAAAAGTACAAGAATTTAGGGTTAAATAACAATTAAATTTTAATTTTGACATATTTGTCAAGTTCATAAAAAATCCTTTAAAATGAGTCCAAACTCGACATATTTGATTTTAATATTAATGGAAATACAATCACTTCCGGTTTGAAACGGCAACGACAATTTTGACATATTTGTCATCTTCATTAAAAAAACCTTTAAAATGAGTCCAAACATGACGCACTTATCTCAAAAACCAAAAAAGTTTGAATAAAAAAACGTTAAACCCGAAGTTAGCTACAATGAAGATAGAATTCAATTATTAAATATTAATACCAACCTTAATTTTTAATTTTGTTTTATTGTATTTTTGTTTTTGTGATAAATTTGAAGACATTTTATGGAAATTAAGAAATTGTCAAAATGACATTGACATTTCAAACCTGAAGTTGCTTATATCTCGACTAATATTGGAATTAAACGGATCATGTTTGGGCTCATTTTACGGGATTTTTCACGACAATTACAAATATGTCAAAATTGACGTTGACATTTCTAACCGGAAGTTGACCATAACTTCATTAATAGTGAAGATAAATATGTCGTGTTTGTACTCATTTTAAAGGATTTTTAATGAAGATTACAAATATGTCAAAATTGAGGTTGACGTTTTAAATCTGAAGTTAGTTATCATATAATAGACAAATGGACAACTTCATGGTGTTCTTTCATGATGTATTCTTTATTAAAAAAAGAACCTTTAAAATGAGTCCAAACATGACGCACTTATCTCAAAAAAAAAAAAATTTGAATAAAAAAACGTTAAACCCGAAGTTAGCTACAATGAAGATAGCAATTCAATTATTAAATATTAATACCAACCTTAATTTTTAATTTTGTTTTATTGTATTTTTGTTTTTGTGATAAATTTTAAGACATTTTATAAAAATTAAGAATTTGTCAAAATGACATTGACATTTCAAACCGGAAGTTGCTTATATCTCGACTAATATTGGAATTAAATGGATCATGTTTTGGCTCATTTTACAGGATTTTTCACGACAATTACAAATATGTCAAAATTGACGTTGACATTTCTAAACGGGAGTTGACCATAACTTCATTAAGAGTGAAGATAAATATGTCGTGTTTGTACTCATTTTAAAGGATTTTTAATGAAGATTACAAATATGTCAAAATTGAGGTTGACGTTTTAAATCTGGTTAGTTATCAGTTATCATATAATAGACAAATGGACAACTTCATGGTGTTCTTTCATGATGTATTCTTTATTAAAAAAAGAACCCTTAAAATGAGTCCAAACATCACGCACTTATCTCAAAAAAAAAGTTTGAATAAAAAAACGTTAAATCCGAAGTTAGCTACAATAAAGATAGCAATTCAATTATTAAATATTAATACCAACCTTAATTTTTAATTTTGTTTTATTGTATTTTTGTTTTTGTGATAAATTTTAAGACATTTTATGGAAATTAAGAATTTGTCAAAATGACATTGACATTTCAAACCGGAAGTTGCTTATATCTCGACTAATATTGGAATTAAACGGCTCATGTTTGGGCTCATTTTACAGGATTTTTCACGACAATTACAAATATGTCTAAATTCACGTTGACATTTCTAACCGGGAGTTGACCATAACTTCATTAATATTGAAGATAAATATGTCGTGTTTGTACTCATTTTAAAGGATTTTTAATGAAGATTACAAATATGTCAAAATTGAGGTTGACATTTTAAATCTGAAGTTAGTTATCATATAATAGACAAATGGACAACTTCATGGTGTTCTTTTATAATGTATTCTTTATTAAAAAAACATTAAAATGAATCCAAACATGATGTTGCTATGTTGTATATTTTTGTTGCACTAAAACTAGAACTAACACTAGACCTAGAATTAGAAAATTAGAACTTTCTAGTTCTAGGTCTAGTTTTAATTGTTACTAAGCGTTAAATTGTTGTCTATTTTTACTGAAATAGAACTAACATTAGATCTCGGATATCTAGATTCATGTTATTAGTTAAATTTTCTTAATAAACAATTTTTGAATTTTTTTCAAAAATTTTCTGATATAAAAGTACTAAAATTTTACGTCATCGTAAAGAGAAAACAAATCTCTATCAAATAAGCCTAACGAAAGGATACATTGCCATTTAAAAAACTTCAAGTGTTATTCGTTGCTCATTTGTTTTCCCAAATAAAAATAATTGAATGCCTTATTATGACAAACAAAATATTAAACAACTTTTGTATAAATTGTTTTTTTATAAAGTTGATACTTACCAAGATAACAAAAATTGTTTTCCTCTTTGTAACTCGATCCGGGGACATACTGTATACTATATTCCATACATAATGGGCATCATGTATATTATATTATACTTTTCCTCCAATGACGTCACGTTTCCTACCTCACCCCGTCAACGTCAGTTTGTTCGAGTTGGATAACCTTATAAGCAATACTCAAGGGACCTTGACTTTTGTCAACTTTTGTCTTTTGGCTTGGTTGTCTATAGAAATCAAATAAATTAATGAAAGACTAATTTGTTAAACAATTTCATTTTTATTTACTAACAGTTTATGCCAGAAATTAACTTTCAATTAACACTAAAACACAAATTAATTTTAAAATGACTGGAGTGGTCTACACTCTATTTTCGCTTTGTCGCAGTCTTAAGACACCGGAGCACCGAGGGCAAGATATTTTTTGGCGCCCTTTATTTCTTACTGTTGTACTTCACTTTTCTTTACGACTAATAGGTACTGCTACTAATACTACTAACAATAAGTAGATGCATGCAAATCTTATTTAAAGTTTGAATTCCAAACACAGTTTTTATACAAACGAAAAAAATATGTCAGGGATTCACATTTTGCTGATGTCAAAGAATGGAAATTAAAATATTAAATTTAATTTATTAAATTTAAAAATCAATATCTATACCGAGATGATTACCAGTCAATAAAACTTAACTTTTTTAGCTTTTCTATTGGAAAATTCTTTAATTACGGTAGAGAAATAAAGATTTTCTGCAATATCATTTTCGATAAATATCGTAGCGAAACTAGAGATGAACAATTCTCGAGAAAACAAAATAGGAGAATATTCTAGATTTGTAGAATAGACTGAACTAATAATTTAACAATTATTAGTTCGAATCTAATGAATTTTCAGATAGCTCTCAAAGTTTCCAAATCACCGCATTCAATCACTTCAATATCAGAAAGGTCTTCATTGCCTCTATTAACCTCAACATTGGTGGCAGAAACTAACAATTTTAAATTATGAGCAATGAAAGTTATTTTATCAGCCCGTTCAGCCGTAGCCGATTTCTTTTCGCAGTGTGAATAGAGCTGTAGGTGCTAAAGCTTCTTTCTGTTGCTGCATTCGACGTAGGCATACTTAATAACGCTACTTTACTTAATGTCGACCCCCTTCCACTATACAGAGTGATTTATTAGCTCACCATCAAACTTTGACATATGATAGCTAATCCAATTACCAAAAAAAAAAAGCTAATGAACATATGTCCTATTTCAATTATTTACGAAATTATAACACCTTAAAGTTTTATTTTTTATATCATAATTACCTGCTACTTTTTTTTTAAAGACATGAAGTACATGGAAACCTAGTAAATTGTTGTTAAATATTTCACCCCAAATGTTGATGCTGAAACGTTGTTGAAATTTCCTTGGTCCTATCGCATGCGGATTTTGTAATGCCCAGATATGTTCATTATGGTAATTATTTATATCATCTCGTGTAAAACATGATTCATCTGTCTAGAGAACATTTGAAATAAAGTCATTGTTTTGGGCATGTTGCTGCAATAACCATTCTCAAAATGCTAACCGTTGCTGATTATTT